ATATATATATATATATATATATATATATATATATATATATATATATATATATATATATATATATATATATATATATATATATATATATATATATATATATATATATATATATATATATATATATATATATATATATTGCTAAGGCCTGGGAGGGGCAGTGAGATGACTCCGCAGAAGTCGAGGCTCGGGGTAACACTCAGGGGTCTTAGGGGGGGCAGGGTCCAGCAGGAGTTGGGAAATGGGAGGGGGCGGTAAAAACTCCTGCAGAAATGCCCGAAGGTGGCGGGGTGACAAGGGGGCTTAGAGGAAACTCCGATTAGCTATGTGACTGAGGGATAAACCTGAGGGTAACTCAGGCTAGCAAGAAGGAAAGAAGAAGGTAAGATGGCTGGGTCATGCTCTCGCCCTTGTGTGGATGTGGCTTGGTGGCTGGCGAGAGTCATCTGGGCTTCTTTTGAAGTGCCTTTGGCTAAGACGTGTGTCTTGAAGGCATCAGGGGACCATCTTGTTAAAGTCTGGATTTGTTGCTGTGAAAAACCCTTTGTGCTTCTGTGATGGCTGCTCATAGTCTGAAACAGAGAATACAAGTATCAGAGAATGTAATTTAACACCTTTTGACTGGGGGAAGCATGTTAGGCGAAACTGCTATAAAGCATCTCTAAATCAGAATCATGTTACTAGGCAACTTGTGTCATCTATTAACGGGGAGGGGGGTTGGGTAATAGGGCTCGGCGAAGTGACTCTGCTGTTGCAAAGGTGCAGTGGTAGTCAGCATAGGAGCATTAGGAATGCTAAATATTGTCAATGTTGATATGAAGAGTAAATACAGAGGGGCTCAGCTGGAGTGCCATTGCAGAGGTGCTGTGGGTGAATGTAATTTGGCGGGGCGTCTCTACTGTTGCAGAGGTGCATTGGTAGTCAGTATAGTATAGTAATGCATGTTCCCGTAAGAATATAAAACCCTGTCGTTAGTGATATGTAGAGGTGAAAGTGAATAGGGGTTCGGCTAGAGCGTCACTGCATTGCGCTATAGAGGTGTGTAGCTCAGCTGAGTGTCTCTGCGGCTGCAGAGGTGCAATGGGTCAGTATGGAGGCAATGTGTGCTCCTGCATAAGCATATACTGCTGTATTTTTGCAGGGGAGTGTAATTATAATAGTATTAGAAGTGTGGTCAAAATGTGTATATATATATATATAATGGCCTTGTGTAAATAATCTGTTTACTTAAAAAGAAGGGGAGTTCTTCATCATGCAAGTTAGATCAGCTATGATGGGGTGTAATAAGGGATGAAATTTGATGTTAGTGGAAATGTGTCTTTGTGATGAGTGAAAATGCATTTGGAATGGATGTAGAGTGTGATGGGTTGAATGAGGGCAGTTTTAGGAGCCGGCAGACATGAACTCTAAAATGAGAAAACAAAAGAGTCAGAAATTAAATCATTACAACATAGTACATATACAGTAGACGTAATTAATTGTTTTAGCCATTTGTGCAAGGTGTCTTTATAAGGGGATAAACAACTGTAAATGGAAGCGCCTTTGTTAATGCATGTTACGATAACTTTGACGTCACAATGTGCAAGGGTTATAGAAGTTGGCATTTGCACCCCTGCGGGGTGGCAAATAGATGGAGAGCTGAGGGTATGGGGCGTGTCTTGGCTGGTGGTCCAGGAAGTTCCTCTTGGAGAGCAGGTGTGATGATAGTGGAGTTTAAACTTCTTACTGATATGAAGTTGTTTAAAAGCGAATGTATCTAACACAGTCGATGTATGAAAAGTTGCTCCAATGCCAGAAATGTCCTCCTCTTGTTTGTAGCAGCCAAGCAGGAAATAGTTTCACATCTCACAGACTTGTCATATAAACCTGTCTATGACACTCATGTGTATAGTGAGTCACTATTGGCATATTACAAAAGAGGTAATGCTTGATGTGTAGGATTTTTAAAAAAAATTTTTAATAAATAATTATTATTAATAAAATGTAAATATATCAACTGCCAACATCAAACTTGAAAAACGATGTTGCCACTTAGTAGGAACTGTATGAATGTAATGTTTATCATGGCCTTAACTCAATCCATGATAATTGACATGTCTGAAATCTTTAAATGATCTGATTCATTCACGCAGTCTTTGCACTTAGTCCATTCATGATACTGCAAGAGGGAAGGCAGGACCATCTCAGGTTTGCAAAGCTCATTGGATGGTGAAACTTCTCCTTTCAGCTATTCTATTCAGCCATTTTTTAAAATCAAATCGCAACGTTGTTTATGCTTGAAAGACGGGCTCCACTCGCTCCAGCAGCTGATTTGGATAACAGTGCACTTCCATGGATGTTTATCAACGTATGAATGTTTTGTGGACTAATGTTTAGGAATTAGATTGACTGGTCATTTACATTCAAACTACTTCAGCTCTCAGAATGTTATGGATCTGCTGACAAGTTCTTTGGCTGAGAGTTCTTTGTTTAAATCATTCCATTCACGCTGGTCTCTCCAGACGTCCCTTTAACGCATGCGCGTTACCGAAAGTAGACCGCTTGATCAGTGAGAGTTCGGCTTCATTGCGGTGGCTTGAATCGCCAACGTTTTGAGTTTTAGTCGGAGTTATGGCTTGTGTTGTGTGGGGCAGTTGAAGTAGAAGTTGGAATTGCCAGTCTCTTACAGGGATTCAGTCTTAATTGCTTGCGAGGCCGCAGCAGGAGTTTTGAGAAGAGCGGGGTTCTGGCTGGAGGAGGAGGAGGAGTAGTAGTTGTTGTTGTTGTTGTTGTTCATGGTTTGTTTGTGCTTCCCTGTTAAAAGGTTAAATGATGCTGAAGCGTAGGTTAAATGCTGGAGCGTTTGTAGCGCTTGACATTGGCCTGTTTTATAAAATATACATTACAAATATCTGGATATGACAACTGCATCTATTGACAAACAACATGCAAAATACCAAACTAAAATCCTGTGCTTGGTTAGCTAATAAGAACAGTTGAAAGCAGAGATGCCCAAGCTAGTGCCCACGGGCCAAAGTTGGTGTATGGTAACCTTTGATCTGTCACGTCATCCCATCTAAGAGAGGGTTTGTTGGGGAGGGTAGGGGTGATGCCTTTAAAACACATTATCACATAAAATTTAACGTTTGTTTGTTTGTTTTTTTTGTTAAATTACAAAAAAAATTGAGATAAAACGTTTGAGTTAAATGTGAATGAATCAGATTCTTCTTTTAATGAACATACTGTTGCTCAACAGATAGAGCACTATTCTAAAGTCATCGGTGAGCAGATGAAGAGAAAGACTAGTGCAGCTTAACTAGTGGATTTGGCTGTAAACTCTATTTATTTTTTTAGCTTGCATAAGCACAGTAACGTCTTCCCTCAACTGTAAATCTTTCCTATACAGATAGTGATAATCCAGATGTGAATTTCTTTCAAAGAAATCAGCTAAAGCTGATAAATCATCCACAAACCTTCTCCAAACATGTTCATATTGCCTTGACATTAGATTTGCTCTGCTGGTCTTTAAACTCCCGCTGAAATGAGCTATGTGTTTGTCTCTGTCCAATGACAGTGCACGTTTTATTTACAAGCTAATGAGGGTTTACCTCGACTTGAGACAAAGGGCTCTAATTTGACAGTCCATGCGCAAAACGCAGGGCGCAAACGTTTTTCAGGGCGTGTCAGAACGCATTTTTGCTAATTACGGATGGGAAAATCCACTTTGCGCTGTGGCGCATGGGCTAAAAGGGTTGAGTTTATTTTCTTAATGAGTTATAGGTGTGTTTTGAGAATAAACCAATCAGAGTCTCATCTCCCATTACCTTTAAGAGCCAGCTGTGTCGCGCCATAAGCGCATTTTTTTTTTCCAAGTTAAACATGTTTATTTAAGGTTTTCAAAAAAATTGTACAATGTGCTTTTACAGACATAATCAAAGGCAAGTTTTACAAAAATGTGCAAAGAATTGTAGGAATTGTAGTAATCCTTAAAAACAAGCCAGCAGATATATGGAGGTAAGGAAAAAAAAAAAGGAAAAAGGGAAACGTCATACTATCTATAAGTATCAATATTGGCAACCAATTAGTCATATAGTCCCTGGAAAGGCACACAAAACTAAATATATATTTTCCTCATCACAGCACATTCCTAATAATATGGACATGTCATTTGAAAAAAAGAACATTAGAACAGAACAAAAGAAGATAAAAAAAACAACAAAAATTACAAACAAAAAACAAAAGACCATTCTCTGAGCCTCTGACAACCCTCCTCTACAAAACAAAAACCTAATTAACAAACAAAACTATTTCCCTCACATGTGAGGGCAAGTGATCTATAAAAGGAAACCATATATTTTGAAAACTTTGTATGTTGTCATTAAGCACAGCTGAAAGCCTCTCATGGGGCAAAACCGCAAAAATCTCTCTGTACCATTGTGTCCTTTACGCACAGACATCAATTAGCCTATAAATAA